GCCGAGGGACGACCGCTGTTAAGAAAAAACATTGTTTCTATATATTTTTGCGATGTTGCTTTGACCAGGGCTTGAACCCAAGCCCGGCGGAATGGAAGCGGGCACTGTTAACCATTATGCCACAGCGGCCGTCTAGGACTAAATCTGCAGGAATATATATATATTACATATGTAAATTAGAAAATTTTTTAATATACACTTTTTTGTAGTCATTTGTAATAAAGGATATGCAAGCATTCGAAGATAATGCAAAAACCATACGTTTTATATCAGATTTTTCAAGACTATGTAATGATATTTAAAGCATTTAGATAGTTATGAATTAAAATATTTTGATAATGACTTTTCTTTGTGTTATCACAAAGCATAGTGAAATGTATTTAAGAACGTACATATATCTATTACATATTACATATTATGTACATATGTACAAATATTCATATAAATGAGAAAAGGAAAGGCTCTTTAGAAATGGGCTATTTGTTGATGAGTTTATTTCTTTCTTGAAGGAAAGTCAAGATGTAAGGTTGGCATGAACCTTCGATTTTAGTGAAGGGATTGTTTCTGGTTGTAAGCTATCCACCACGTAAAACAATGTTCCAGTGAAAAGACCAATCGTGCCTCAGATGGGACCTCCTTCTGTTGTTGACGAATGCGATGAACGTTAATGGAGAAGGCGCCTGTGTCTGTTCAGGAATTGCATAAGCTTTTCAAAGATGTAGACATAGTGTAGCGAATTAAATAGAGTGGCTCCGCTCGCTCGGGAATGTCATACGAATAGAGAGAAAATATACAACGCGGATAAAGATGTTTGTAGCAAATGAAGAGCAAGACTTCGGCGCTGGAAAGACTAGGCGGAAAAGGGCTTGTTGGCATTTATGTACAATTGGCGTTAGTTGGTACAGAACAGAAATGACTGGCCTGATATAGAAACCCTTAGGCAGTTACGGTGCCGACAAGAATAAGAATTTATAAAAATGGGAATGCATTTTCAATTTTACTAAATTTTTAAATTTCTTTCATTTATTTCGGAGTACTGATGCTTCTCCGTACAAAATTTGATGCAAGTTTTCTGCTTTAAAGCATTCTTTAAAAAAAAGCAAACTTAGAAAGCTACCAATTGCTTTATTATTGGACAACCAAACAACTTAGGGCGTATAATTCGATGCACAATTTGCGTATCATAAAAAATAACAGCCTATTTTGAGCCTTCGTAATTTCCCAAAATACAAATAAAAGTAATAGAGAGTTTCAGAACTTTGTTTACACACGTAACACGCGCCAACATTCCAGGAACGGTGGGCGCAATGTATGTAGTAAAAAGTAAGAATTGTAGTCAAATAAAAAATTATGCGTCGCATATTGACCATTGACATTGTTTTTCTTAGTCATTGTTGTTGTATCATTACCATTATTGTCACGAAAAAGAAACAAATAAACACTAAAATTACACAATTGGCAAGCAGTATAAGGTGGACGATTTGGCGGGTTCAGCTAACGGAGTCCCCGTTGGAAAGACAAAGTAATGGGCCACACACTGACGGCAAAAGCATTGTCCGCATGGCTTGGTGTGAGATATACAAACACATACCTAATACTAATAAAATAAAAACCCAATATTTTGGGGCAGTCTGTAAGCTTGTTTAAGTCCATTGAGTTTCTAAAGTTAGATGAGATAGTCCGGCTCTTTTGAACCAACTTGCCGTAGCTCGCCAGCCTTCCACTTGCTGTGTTAATTTTAAATTGTAAAATCAATTATAATGAACAGAATGACAGAGAAGAGAAAAACTAAGATATAAATAAAAGATTGAAAAAGACCAAGTCTACCTTGCCGGAATAGTATGAACAACACACATAAAAGAAACAACAAAAAAAAAACATCCAATATGGCAAACAAAGGTGCGCAAATAGTTATTTCGGGATGGACAAAACGAGCATGAAATTAATGTTATCACTTACAAACATAGTAAGGTTTGCTTTTCATTTGGTGTAAGAGAGCGAAAAGGGTGCGTATAAATAAACAAGAAAAATGTAAGTTACACGAGCGTAAAAAAACACAATATATTTAGTACAAGTAATATTTAAGCGACCTTAAGAAAGTGAAAAACGAAAGTTAGAGGAAGAAAGACTTTAGACATCAAGTAATTTTTAAGCAAAAACACAAAATCGACTTCAATTCCCATATTCAAATTTAAAGGTAACGTTAATGTATTCATCATCGGATAGTATAGTATGGAACCACCGCTGAGGTACCAACTTTCCTTTAAAAAAAAGTATTATAGAAATCGGTTAGCGAGGCACAAAGTAATGCGGAAAAGTTGTAATTTTAAATAAGTTTGAAAAGTTCCTTTAAAGATAAAAAATTAAGTATTCGTTGCCCATATATTTGCTAAGTGCCTAATCCAACTTTATCTCCGGTTTGCGGTGTGCGTCTTGGAGTTAAGACACAAATGGGAAACCAACTTTCTATGCCGTCACCGAAGAGAAAATGGCTTTTATGAGATGTTTTTTCGGCCATTTGAGGATTTTTAGTAGAAAAGCTAAGTCAAACGGTGAATGCGAAATCAATTTAGGTATTTATTTAAATTCATATTCATATTCATCATAGTTTTCGAGAAAGTTTTAATCTTAGCCTCGGTGTCCATATTCGTCTTTTTAACTTCGCTTAGTATTCATTTTCGTATTTTTATTTGTCTTCGCCTTCGTAATCGGCCTCGTGTTAGACGTCTTATTCTCATTTGACTTCGTATTCGCTTCCATTCTCATATTCTTCTTCGATTTCATATCTTCGCCATATTCATCTTCACATTCGTATCCGGCTTCCTATGTGACGTCGCATTCGCCTTCGTTCTTAACGACGTTCATTCGTCAACTATTTATCTATTTCTAGCCGTCTTCGTCCTTCTCTTGATCTTCGTCTTTCTTTCTTTTCCTTACTTTTGATCCCCATCTTTATCTTTGTTTCTGTACTTGTCATCGTATTTATCTTCATAGTTGTCTTTGTATCCGTATCGTATGCGTCGTCGTATTCGTCTCCATCTTCTTATTTATATTCGTCCCAATCTACATATTCATGTTCGTTTTAGATTGCGGCCTTCATTTTAGTATTCGTGTCCGCCATTGTCTTCGAATTATTCTTCATCGTTGTATTCCCCATCATACTTGACTTTGTCTGTTCCTTTGTCTTTTTCTTACTAACTGTTGTTGCTTTGGGCTTGGACTTAGTCTAGGGCTGCCAGACGTCCTGGTCTTCCAGGATTTGTCCTGGTTTTGACAAATTGTTCTGGTGTCCTGGTTCACACTTAAATTGTTCTGTTTTTTAATGAAGGTCAATGCAGGCACCGATTTCATATTTGGCAGAATTTCGCTATGCATAAATGTTAAGCTTTCTGTTATTAGCAACCTACATTTGGTCAGTTTTTATGATGTAACGAAAGCTCATTTTACACAAAATAAACAGCTGTTAGTGTTGATGTAAGTAATTTTGACATTATAAAAACCAAGCATTGAATAAAGTTTTAAGACTACAAAGCATCTGAAATCTTGTTTATTTTTTGTGAACTGATTTGTATTTTAATGCTTAAACATTTATCGAAGTTCCGATTGTTCAATTTTCTTGTGTACTTTTAATTCATTCGTTGTATCGAAAATATCGATTTTTATATACTACATCGAAGAAGAAAACGGGAACCAAGTTTTAAGGAACTTTCTCTCGAAGAACAATTTGGGAACTAAAGACTCAGGTATATTCTGACAGAGAACGAAACGGGAACAAATCTTCTCTGAAAAATTACATCATGCAAATTAAGTCAACAAAGGACTTAAGACACGAACCTTTCTTCCACAGAAAATTGAAATTTTTTCAACCCATATCATAAACGGTCTGTAAGTTGAAATGATCCAGACTTCCTCTGGCTTAGAATTAGTCATTGGTCTCACTGCAACGAATTTTCATCACAGCACGCAGACGCCCCTCAAGGCGTCCCCTATTGCGAGTACTAGATAAACGACTATTATTCGATTATCAATTTTCAATGCTATTTTGAATGCCGATTTCTCGTTCAATAAGCGACTGTGAATATTTTGCCGCTCACCCTTCTACAAATGAACAGTTGTTGCATAATTTATAATCGATTAATAGTCGTTTATCTAGTAATAGTCGACACTCGCAATAGGGGTGCTTAGTTCTCTAGCAAAACGTACCCCAGGCTTTTGTTCTTATTTAATCCTCCCTGAAAAGGTTCTCGAAATTTTTGTTCTTATTACATTCTCATTGTAAACGTTCCCGAAAGTATTGTTCTCATTTCGCTCTTCTTGAGAACGTTATTGAGAGTTTTGTTCTCATTTTGTTCTTCACGGAAATTTTGCCGCACCTTTTTTTATCTGGGAAACCTATCGTAGCTGTGGGCTTTCCCCCCGTTAACATTTTCCCAACATCGTATTTTGTGGATGGATTATTTATTTTTACATCAACCTTTCTTACCTCAAATACCAATGAAGCTAGTTCATATATATACTAGCTTCAAAATCTTAAAGAAATGTTCCAAATAAATATGCTTTAATATTTTTTCTCTGCACATGTGTATTTTGAAACAAGGTTGCCTTTAACATTCAATCCTTTGTTTAATTGAAAATAATTTTTTTAATATTTAATTGACATGCGCATTGTGTTTACAGCATTCACATTTGACTTGAAATTCGAAAAGAACTTTCAAACAATAGCGGATGTGCCTGGCATTCAGTTGATTGCAACGAAAGTAAAACTTCCTGCAGCATACTTGCACATACGTACATACATACAAACATTGTCATGCATTCACTATTTTTTATTTACAATAACAAATAATTTCATATATTATAGAAAACTATGTACATACCATACATATGTATGTATGTCAGCGTGTATGTATGTACATATGAACTTACTTATTTAAGCATTGCCCCACATTACATTTGTCTAATTGCCACCATCTTTCCTTTTCTTTCCAAACTACTTGCAGGTGCGTAAGACGTTTGCGTCAAGAGCTGCTTGTCGTAATTAGTTGGTCAAAATGTCTGATTGCGAGTGACCGGAAAAGTTTATTGCTTGGGATCAGGAACAGCGAGAACAGCAACACAGCATGAAATCAAGAAGTTCGCATTGCGCAATGCGGATGTGTAAAATATCTACTTGAAAAGTTCGAAATAGAATAAAATGAAAAGAGAGACCATCTAATAACATTTAGTGAAATTAAAAATGAAGCTGCAAAAATAAGAAATAAGAGAAAAACATGATGGGAGAAAATAAATTATATAAACAAACAAGAAAGTTAGTTGCGAATATGCTGGAAAAATCAAAGTCTCCAAACAGCTAATTTCTGGCATATTAAGAAGTCACATACATACGGGTACAGAGATACGGTACGTGTACAGTATGCATAGCCATATCACGGTTGCCACTGTGGTAAAATGTTGCCAAAATCTCTGGTAATTTGCTAACTTCCGATTTCATTTGGTAGCTTTCAGACAAAATGCTTAAAATCTTTAAAATATTTTTGAATATCATACAATACATACACGCAGCTAATTTCTTATTGAATGAATTTCTTTTTGATGATAAATACGAAATTGTGATTTATGATTGGCGATATGCACATATCTATATACACATGTGCCATAAGGAGCTAGGGTCATGGCGTAGGCTTCGGTCTTTTAAATTTTGAAGATTATTATATGCGATTTTAATATTAAACTGTGAAGTAAAAAAGCTATCCTTGCCTCAAAAGAAATTTATTTTCGTACTATCTATATAGCAGTTAAGTTAAAATGTTTAAGTTATTTTATTGATTTAAAGTTTAGTTAAAATTGCTTTAAAACAAGAAAAATTGGTCATGACATATATTTAAATGTAAATTTTTGTTCTGCCACTATGTAGAGTAGCTCGCGGATTTCGAAAATCGAGTAAACTTTTTTTTCCTGTGGACAAGTTTTTGAGAAGTTTGCAATTTATCTTTATTCAGCTAAAAGAAGTGGTTGAAATTTTATTGAAAATAAAAGTAGGTTTTTTCGCTTGTAGAGATTACATTACATCCACAATTTTGAACAGTTTTGGGCAGGTTTTTACATAAAATTTGTACGGGCTTTTGTAATTTTTTTTGTGATGACTAACAAAGAAAATCGACAGATTATAAAACAGCTGTGTGGCAACTTTCATATAAGCTAGAAAGTGTAATTGTAACGCCCATTGTTTATTACAAAAGAAAAAAGGCGTTTATTACTTTTGGTAAATTTTTGGTAACCTTTTATACAAATGTTCGTAACATTTTTTCTAAGTGTGTGGCAACCGTGAGCCATATACGTATTTTGTGGACATTTGACAAAACAACTTATCTTGATTTCTGCATTTTTTGCCTTAAGGGTCTAAAATGTGGGAACCCAGTAAGTGGAGACTTAGTGAACTTTCAATAATTTGTATGCTGCTGTTTTTTTGTTTTCCCTTCAAAAACTAAACCTCTCAAAAGCATATTCATAATTTTTTTTTTTTATCGGAAAAATTCCATAGATAAGTATGCACAATATCCCAATTCAAGAATTTCGTACGTGGTTCCATTGCCACTCCCAGCCTCATTTGTTATGGTAGCCGTTATGGAAACCATTGAGCTGACTGGCAACACCAGGAAAAAAAGTACATTGCCAAACGAACAGACGGGAGTTCCTTTTAATGTGCCAAATATGTATGCTGAAGAAACTTTGGCATGACATGTGCGGCTGCCAAGCAATTTAATGAGATAAGTGGAGCAGAAATTAGGATAGCACAAGAAAGATATCTATGGACAATTCTGTGCTCACAAGCAATAACCGCCTGAGTCGACTTAATAAAGAATGGAGTTATATTTGCTATCGTATTCTGCAACACCTATTCCATGGGTACATGAAATTCCCATCTCGCCAGCTAGGCTAAATATGGGGTCCAAACTGTTGAAAATTAGTATGTGAAGTGAAATTTTGGTAAAAAAACATATTATGAAATTTTTGGAAAAGCGGCGTGACCCCGCTTCACCAATCCTTACCAAATTCGGTACGAGCCTTGCTTTGGGTCCAGCTAAGAAATTTGCTGGAAATCATTGAAATCGGGCAATAGCCACGCCCACCTCTCATATAACGGTAATTTAGAGAAACACGATAAATCAGAATGAAATGATTGAAAAGTCTTAAAAATTAATAATCTATACTAATTATATACAGAGAAGTCCCTTTTTTTTGTAACAGGTAATCTCGCGAACGGCTGGTCCGATTTTAATGAAATTTTGTATATAAAGAGCTTTCAGCAACCACCATGTTTTGGGCTAAAAAAAATTTACTTTTTTCCGGTAGGTGGACCAGGGACCGATCTATTCGAAAAAATCTTATTATGGTCCGATTTGATTAAAATTCGGTACGTAGGTAGCTTTTTACCGAGATTAGCATATAGGATCCTTTTTTACCGGGAAGTGAACCAGGGACCGATCTATTCGAAAAATTCGTATTTGTGGTCAGATCTGCTTAAAATTTGGTATGTAGGTAGCTTTTTACCTAGATTATCATATAGGATCATTTTTTCCGCGAAGTGAACCCAGGGACGGATCTATTCGAAAAAATCGTATTTATCGTCCGATTTGCTTGGAATTTGGCACGCAGGTAGCTTTTTGCCGAGATTAGCATATAACATCCTTTTGTCCGGTAAGTTGAGCAGGGACCGATGTATTCGAAAAAATCTTCTTTATGAGCTGATTTGCTTGAAATTTGGCGCATGGGTAGCTTATTGCCCGGATTAACATATGGGATACTTTTTTTCTGATAGGTGGACCAAGGACTGATCTATTCGAAAAAATTTTACAAATGGTCCGTTTTTCTTGAAATTCGGTACACGTATTATAGCTATACATACAATAGAATTGAATGATTGTTTTACAGTTGGAAAGGTGTTTTAAGGCGCCGCAAAGCAATTGGCTATTGGCTATTTACGTATACTTATTATCTATACCAATTATATAAAGAGAAGTCCCCTATTTTTATTAGAGGTGATCTCACAAATGGTTGTACCGATTTCTATGAAATTGTGGACACCTTATGGTTATAGGCTGATAATAATTTCGTTATATCAAGGGAGCGTGGCATCTCCCATACAAATCAAATTTTTCATACCGCATATCTCTCGAAGTATTTTGGTAGAGTCCTGGAACTTTATATGGTATCAATCCTATACTCATGGAGAAAAGTGGGCGTGGCGCCTTCCAAACATACTGAAACTTTTACCTATCTGTAAATACATATATAATAACGAGGTTAATAACTTAAAGCACCACGATCCGATCTGGCTAATATTCAAAACATGTATTGGTAACATGAAGGGAAATATTTTTGAACCGATTTGCCTCATAATAAAGATATATAGGGGTAAGAGTAGTGACAATAGTATTGCAAAAAAGATCCGCAAGGCTGCGCTGGGGTCGAGCTATTGTTAAAAATTTTGAAGTGAAGTCATTCGGAGATACCAGGCATCAAAGTAGTCAAGTTACCACCGTTAAATCTACTACCATAACCATTGCGGTCCTTAATTTACTGTGACTAAACAGAATAAAGATAATTCTTGATGAATACCTACAAAAAAAAATGTAAGACATTTGTGATATTTCGTCTGAAGTAAGTCTATGTAGCTTGGATTCTGTAGACCAATGAGACCATCTTGAAATTGCCTCCAGATTCAAGGACACAGAATATAGGATACAAGGATACAGATTCATCATCGTACCGTATCAGTGTTGCCGCAAGAACTTCTTCACGGACATAACGAAAACCAAACTTGAACGTGAATTGTGGTGAAAACGTTGTACCAAATGTTTCAATAAAAAATTAATTTTGGGCGGGACGAAGTTCGCCGGGTCAGCTAGTTATACATAAGTGGCAAAATATATCATTTTGAATTTGGTACAAAATGATGTGTCCAACTTTGACTTTTTAAACTATTTAATTCTTGTAAAAATTACATACCATTGCACTAAATTCATATTTTCCACCACGTAGTCCATGACCTTGAGGGCTGAAAATGCCACCGCTTATATTTCAGAGCCCTTCGTTGACGATAAACATTTAACCTGCAGCAATAGCGATAGTATGAGCTTACAGCTATTGAGGAACTCCTTACGAATGTAGTGTTGGAGAGACTCATATCGTATATATAGGACGTTTTCCCAGATTTCCTAACGAGATAACGAATAATAGAAGGAGAGGCAAAGTAATTAAACAATAAACCCTTAGTTAGGCGCATAAAGCAAATCACACAATCAGACGCAAAAGGTCTCGAGTGACCATTAAAAAGTGTTGAAAAAGGAGTGTAAGAAATAAAAAATTGAAGTGTTTTTTAGGAAAACAAAAACAAAAAATAACATTGATTTCACTCATAGATTAAAAGTAAAAATCTACCTCTGCCAAAAAATGTTACGTCAGTTCTCCAGAGAATAGCGACACATGTGCACGCGTCGATGTAGCGGCCGTGGCTTAATGACGCACCCCGTAGGATGCTAAGTTATAAGTTAGAAAGAGCGCGAGTGCGCTCCTAGCTCTCCAAGACACTTGAAGGCCTAGCGCCTAATTAAGAATTAAGTCTAACTGCACGTGTTATCGAAAATGTTTGAAAATTGTGCAAAACCACCCGTGATTGCCTTTAACGGTAGTTTTTAGAAAGGTGAAAAACTATATGTAATACGCACGCCGGGTATTTAATCTTCAGCTTCGGGCGAACTTAGACTTCTTTACTGGTTTTAGTTATTATTTGATTTTGTTTAATACAGAAAGCCTGACCAAAAAATTTTAAAGTTATTTTTCTGTTTTTTTTAGACATTCTTCCAGCTAACAAGCGTTTGGTAACAAAATAAAATCAGCACATTTAAGAAATTAACCATAACCTGGCGAAAAAACCAGCATGTCAAAAACATCCGATTGCCACCGGCGACAACAAACAAATAGGCATCAAATTTATTTTAATGTCATATTATTTATCGAAATAAAAGTTAAAAGAGAATAAAAGCAAAAATCAATGCCTAAATAAACATTCATAGCTGTGCAGTACGCATTGCTCTAAGCAAAAGTTTAAGGACAGATGCGCCGTTTTAAGACAAGCAAAGGCAACAGACGGTGAAAAACATTCAAAAAAGAAAAACAGTCGAAATGAAAAACCAGAATTTGTGTACGACTCGTAACAGGCACAACCGAGTTTTATTTATTTTTCAAAGCTGGCAGCACATGTGCAGAAAATACACCATTTAGCTAAGCCAAAAGACATGCCTGAAAACTTACACACATAGTATGTATGTATATGTATGCTTACCTGCCATACACATATTGCGAACACATAAAAGCATACATACATATGTGCAGTGGCGGGAAAACAAATAGGGACGCGACATTTCAACAAGTTTTAGCATTTTTTTTTTGTTTAATATACCTAAATGAGGGCATAGTTCACTATGTAATAAAATCCATGTGTGTTCGAATTTGAAGCTTCGTACAAAAATTCAACAAATTTTCATACAAATTTCAAACTTTTGATTAAGAATTTTTATGTATGCAGTTTTATAGCCTATTAAATTCGAATATAAAAAAAGTCACGATCGATTTAGCTAGAGTTTACCGTTGATTTTTGCCAACTTTTTTGTTCCATACAAATATGCTTTAACATTTTTAATATGAAAGAAAATGCCTACCATCAAAAAATTGCTAAAAATCAATGGTATCTTGTAGCTGCTCGAAACCAGCACTCTATGTATTATGCAAAAATTAACTGGTCTATAAAAGTGCATACCAAAAATTTTCTAAAAAAACATAATTCTTAATCAAAATTTGAAAATTTCGATGAAAATTTGTTTAATTTTTTTAATTTGTGTGCAAAGTCGGATTTATATGGTGTTTGTTGTATAATTAGCTCGACTTTTATAAAAAACATTACAAAATGTTGCTGGCCTATTTAGTTGAGCGCAATGGCATATGTGCATATGCTCGTATATGTACTTATGTACGTATGTAAATATTTATGAATGCATGTGTCTTACCTAGAAAAATTACATGAAAATAATACAAATGCACGACACGTAAAATCAAAACGATAAAAGTGATAAAAAAAGCAAAGTGCTTAGAGTGATGGAAGTGAAAACAAAATATTGCAAAAAACGCACACACACAAACACACTTCTATAGTTTTTCATCAAAATGGAAGCGAGTTTGTGTGTGCGGGGAGAGGAAAAAACAAACTAAGCACATGCTTAATGTTGAGTTCCTCTTCGATTCAAGTTTTTTCCAATTCTCAATTGCAGGTGGGATGGGCGAAATGCGTGTGTGAGTGAGTGAGCGAAAAACAAACATTCGACTGTAAGCAGCAGCAGCAGCAGCAGCGAAATAAATAGAGAAATACAAGAAAACAAACATATGTGTATAAAAAAAAAACTATGAAACTATGTATGTATGTCGTGGAAGTGAGCAAAAAGAATTAAAGTGGCAAATCACAAAAGTAAATTCAACAGTGAAAACGGCACCAGCACCAATACTTAGCCTTTCTGATAAAGTACATTTTTAACAACATTTATATGAACATATGTGTGCCGAATTTAGTTGAACAGTTTAATGCCGTAACATATTTAAAGATTAAAATATGCATTTCTCCAATATTTAACAAAAAACCCCCAGAGCCCAGAGAGAAATTCAATAAATTATATCTGTGTATATAGTAGGACGAGTATTTATGTACACATACATAGTGTCCTTATAATATATGAATAAGTAAAATTTGGCATAGTTTTTGCTGAGCGAAAAATTAAAAAAAAAAAATTAACAAGGGAAATCGCTTCCGGTGCAATTGGCATCGACAAACAATACGCTACCAAACAAAGCTACGCTACGGCAAGCAAGCAAGCAGTGCTACAAACACAACTACAAAATGGCTGCGCAAAATTGCATTTCGCCATTTTTACACACCCTCCGAATGGCTTTCCTCACATTGCCGTTGTTGATAGTGCATACACAGGCGCGAATCGGTAAGTGATTTCTTTTTATTAAAAATTTATGCCACAAATATTGCCTTAATATTTATTATACATAAAATTGCAGTTAATATTTATGAAAAAGTAAAATTAAAATATAGAAAAGAGTGGTACACATAAAACTAATTTATGCAATTAAATTTTAATGAAACTTCATTACCCTAAGGACTGCTGAAATGTTATTAGTACAAATATTTGGTTTGCAAAGTGATGTTCAGCCAAATAAAAAATATTGGCACTGTTCAGGATCTACTGCAATAAAATGCAAACGGTTGTCATGGTATCATTCACAAAATTTGCAAATCCAGGACTATTTGCACAAGATTCTGCACTGCCCTATTTTACATATATGCCTACAAATATTTATAAGTTGTAATTATTAATACATGCGTGTCTTAAAATCGGGGTGTTAAACTTTTTTTTTCCAGCTCAGGGAAACAGCAAATTGTGGGTCTCACGCAAACTTTGCCCAAGCCTTAGTATTCACATGTACGCATTAGTCGCATTCCAAAAGGGGGCCTTACTCGATTCCATTAAAACTAAAATTTTTCCTAGAACATCATTGTGACCCAATTTTGCAAGAATGCCAGCTAGAGGATTAAAAAATTCCACAAAATTTTTAAGCATTATATTGTACTCGGATTTACCGAAATCAAAAAATACGCTGTGAATTAAGTTTCGTGAAAAATGTTTTTAGTTTTATTACCTATTTCATTTAAAGATAATTAAGACAGGATTTGGCTCCAATTTTGCACCAACCTAATTTCATACTAAAACTGAAAAATATCTATAAAATAGCCAAGCTGTGTTAAAAAAAATTCTTTAGATGAGATATCCTGGAATGGTAATGATCCAATCTATCAGACAGATTGGTAACTTACATTTTTCATACAAAATGTCTTTTAAAATATATTTATTAAACAAACAAACAAACGCGGTTCAATAAACCGATTCATATTTTTTTCTAATAACTCTTTTACGAGATAGAGTCACAAAGGTCTTAGAAGCAGTTGTGGATAAGTAGGTACAACTTTTTCAGCCCTTTTATAATTTGAAAATACATTCGGTGTATACATACGGTGACCATATTAACCAACGTAAAATAAAGGACTTTTTTATCAAAGTGATAAAAGTACCTTATCCATATCCTAATTTAAATCAAACATTTACTAGTACATTATATTATCTAATTGCACAAGTTTCCCTTATTCAAAGGCACTGTAAACGGGGGTTTAACCGATTCCGCAAAATTAAACCCAGTCCTTATCTCTTGGTGCCAAAATGTGTTTCTCATAATTCGTACAACACGATGAAGCCAGCACACAGTGGTTTAAAATTGGAACTTGATGTTCGTAATTCGCTAGAGCCTTCATTTTTGAATCCATTGGATTATTCTTTTTTATGGAAGCTTATAAAATTAGTAAGAGACCAGTTGAGCACGAATTTTGAAAGTGCAGAAAAAGTAGCAATTTTAAAGAATATCGATTCTGTTTTTCCAGTTAATAAATGTTACATAATAAAACCTAGTTGAAATCAAGTGTAGGGTTCCTCCAAAATGAAGAATAATTTCACAAGTAACATTGGAAATGTTATAAAAAAAATTTCACCGAAATTAAAAAATTTAAATTTTTAGAAAAATTTTGGGTATGCAGTTTTATAGACCATTAAATTGTAGTATAATAAATGAAAATTGCAAGTGGCTAAGGGATTGCACATCTGCATGCGAAATGGGAAATAAGTGCATTTGTTTTATTATTAAAAATCAACGGGAACTCTTAGACACTTGCACCATGCTCTTTATTACAATAAAATTTAATGATATATTAAACTGCATATCCCAATTTTTTACTAAAAACCAAAAAAAAAATTAATTTTGTTGAAAATTTTTTATAACATTTCAAATTTTTGTGTGATTTTTTCGTTTTGCGAGAACCGAACAATTGTTTTCAGCTGGTTTTGTAACATTTATTAGATGGAAAGTAGAATACATTTTCTTCAAAACTGCTACTTTTTTTGCATTTTGCACTAAAAAATTTAAAATAAAAGTTCACAAATCAGGCTCAACTGAACACTTGCAAATTTTATAAGCTTTCATTAAAAAAAAATTAACTAAATGAATGAAAAATTAAGGCTCCAGTGAATTATGAACACTAAATGCCAGTTTTGAAACTCAGCGTGCAACTCGTACTGGGCCCAACTTTCCCTTTTCTTCTGAGAATTTTACTCAAAGTAAGTATATTAATTTTTCTATCAGTAATAGCAATGATTCGTGGTTTATAGATTGTACAAAGATTACCGATTAAATAGCAACCCTTAAGAGAGGTGCGAAACAAACTGGCGAAGGTTTTCATTATATTTTATAAGGGACATTTTTAACCGACTTCCAAAAAAGGACAAAATGCGTCCTTTATTTCGAAAAAAATTGTAAAGGACAGAGGGTTAAAATAAAGGACTGTCCTTTAAAATAAAGGACGGATGGTCACCGTATGCATACATAGTATTTTCGGTGCATTGTAGGAGATTTTTCTATGTCTACATTTCAGACCGAAGTCATAACGCATTTTTCGGCGTTTGAAAAACCAGTTTCAGATGGTTTGAAAATACCAGGGTGGCGAGGCTCAAAAATAGCATATCGTCGGTGTTTTTGCAAAACCGCCAATCTTACGGCACTCAAATTTTACAGGAGAGCGAAAAACGGGGTTTCTTTAAAGGCATTTCTCTAGCTAGAAATCTGGTCTTTTAATAACGATTTTTATGCATAAATCTTGTTGCCTGGATTTCGGGGTTACCAAATCTCATTTTTGCCGTAATGTCGTAAATACATCACAATGTGATCCAGTATAGAGAATATAACCATGTGAAACTCATCCATCAGTTTTAATTTTTGTACCCTTATTTAACTTAAGTCATTGTGAATATATATTTATTATATATTTATCATAATTAATAAAACTGAATTTAATTCAGCTAATAAGTACGTAAACACAACATTGATGGATTCTGCGATGGTACCAGGTTCGCCTGATTAGCTAGTTTTAAATAAATGAAATATGTATATGTTCCTCAAAATGAATTATTTAATGGGAGCGGCGGTTTATTTGGTTCAGTTCCTCATATTTTGAAATCCCATTTAATGTTATTCATAAAATAAAATTTCACAAAGAGTACACAAAATCAAAACATAAATGTGAAAAATACACTCGAAAAATTAAACAGCTTTTCGTGACTTGAATTTTGAAGTCGACTCCAAGTGAAAAACTGGACCTAATACGACTATGATACCCTTAATCTATAGATTCATTAGCTTAGTTAAAACCCTACACTCAGAAAAAAGTCAGCCAAATATATTCCTCTCAACACATGATTTGGTAACTATAAACAAATAATGTAACTATAACCAAATCATGTGTTCATAAAAACATATTTAGTTGACGTAACTAAACTCTTTTCTCAGTGTACTTTTTTTGACTATGATCATAATCGACCCGCATTTTCGATAGTAGTTATGTTCGACAAATACCGTATGGCATTTGAAAATCTCTGACATTAAAACATTTAGTTACTACTAAAATGTACTTAAAAATTGGTTTCTATCTATTCGATAAGGTACAGTACAGCATGTATGTACATATGTATGTATTTTGGTATTTTTTTAGAATATTTTCAACAATTTCATCATTATTTGAGCATCGTATTTAAAGCACCCATTTTTATAAATACTTATTTAGTTTAACAACATAACGTATCCTCTCTATAAAAAAAAAACATTTTATTTCTAAATTAGTTAATAGTAAAATATTCCGAACTTTGTCAAATCGCCAGTCGTTCTATTTTTATAACCGTTATTACTGTGATAAAACCGTTTACATGCAATATGAGTAAAGCTCATTGTAGGTACAGGGCTTGCGGCAACATTCGTCGTATACACCTTCACGGCGACGACGAGTCTTGGCCAATGTGTCAACTTGGCCGCCATGAATCTTAGCTAGGAAAGGCGAGGACGCATAGTGTGATGGTAGCCCATCTTCAACGTCATTGTCGCCAAAATCATTCCATCCCACTAAAAGAAGGATATTTTATTTGAAATATTTAAATAGTGAAGCTTAAAACATTATTTGTATGTACACATGTAACTAACTTTGAGAGTAGCTTTGTAGCTAATTAAGTATACTCACTTGATCTCTTGAATTTCGTATTGAATCCATTTTCGCAAATAGTATCGAGCACAGCATCAATTGCCGGCCCACATACCGTTCTTTGGGCTATAATTTCTTGCAAACATGCAAACAACACAAACAGAGAAGCGCAGATTTTAAGCAGATTATGTGACATAGTAACAGGTGTTTTGTTAGTAAGTATTATATAATTTATGTAAAATATATATTCGAAGGCAACACTATATTACATGCAACTTGGCGTTGAAGCTGTGCAAAGTAACTGATGGAATTTGCAGTTTCCCTGTGTGCTTTTATACTAGCGATGAAAAGGCAAAAATAGCTTTGGTTTTAGGGCGAGCCAATGCATGTTTGTAGTACATACAAGTACAGCAGTTTAGCATATTTCCTTCTTAACCCACTTTGCCGATTTAAGAAGTCAAGGTCGCCAAGGGCGTTGAAAGAATTTTGCAATTAATATGCTGAATACATACGAACATGTGTATGTACTTTAGGGTGGTCCAAAAAGAGTCAAGTCGGAATTTTAATGCTCTCACCCCCTAGGATTGTTCTTTATCCAAAAAAAGTTTACCCTTATTTTTTATTTTGAAATCAAAAATATTTAGAGGTCAAAGTTTTCCATGTATTTGATATGGGGAAATGGTATAGAATTCTTGAAAATCAATATTTTTCGATGGGAAAACTCCGTTTCTCTGCACAAGACTCGCAACAATAATACCCAGTTTTTTTATTTAACCAGTTTTTAATACTAATGATTTTTTATTCAAACCCTCATTGCATTTTTCGGGGTTTTTGGTGGACCTATAAAATTTTGTTACT